CAAGCACTCTACCACTGAGCCACCTTCCCAGCCCCATTTTTGAGACTCTTTAGGGATACATATAAACTTTTATTATATCCTTTAAAAAAAGAAATAGAATTCACAGTTTATTGCTTGTATATAACTTGGAAGTATTAGAGTTTTGTATATCCTCTAATAAGATGGTTTTATTTTAATATTTTTCTTATCAGTATGCTAAATCATTTATTATATCATTCTTGCAATCCAGAAATGAATATCACTAAAGAGGCAATATAAGTTAATGAAAAGAAAATAGTCTTAATTTGTGTCTTGTTAGTATTACTCAATAGCTATGCAATCCTGGAAAATCTTAACTTCATAAATTAAGGGAATAAAGGCAATAAAATTTTCTTTCTTACACTTAAGAAAGATTCACCATTTATAACAACGTTTCTATGGGAAAATACACTGAATTCCAAGTTTGAATACTAGAAGTCAGATATCCTCACTGTCACCATGTAAGGTACAGTTACTCCTCATTTGTACTATCAAGGAGTAAGAGGAAGGATCCTTAAAAAGGTTTTAAGAATATGAGTCTGAGAATTTGTATGGAGGACTTGAGAAAGAGCATTGAGGTTATAGAGAAAAAGTAAAGGACGTTAAGGTAGATACAAATTCTTAGGATGGGATAGAGAAGAACTTACCAGAACTTTCCTTCATCCATACTCCCCTATTTCATCCCTTTATTCTGTCCTTTCCTCTGTTTCTTTCATCATGTCCTCTCTTCTTTTCCTGAACAGCTATAGACTGTGGGCCAAGTTTGGAAGAAATTTGATGTTAGTTAGAACAGGGTTTAATGAGTGCAAAATAAAGGGTTTAGATTTTCTGTGGAGAAAAAGTGAGAGAGTAGTATTTGAGATTTCTCAGTAGAAAGGAATAGTTTTTGTAGATTCAAGTCTGAGATTAGCTGAAGTAATTAAGACTCTATTCTTAAATGATGATCTGTATACTGGGGTTTAGTGTATGCATGGGGTAATTTTTTTTTTTTGGTCGGTTGTGGGGCCTGAACTCTGGGCTTGGGCACTGTCCCTCAGATCTTCAGCTCAAGGCTAGCGCTCTACCACTTAAGCCACAATACCACTTCTGATTTTGTCTGTTTATGTGGTGCTGAGGAATGGAACCCAGGGCCTCATGTATGCAAGGCAAGCACTTTACCACTGAGCCACCTTCCCAGCCTTGTTTGGGGTAATTTTTAAAAGACAAGTTTGCATAAATATTGATATTAAATGCATGTAATATCCCTTTTGGAGGTATTATTTGATCATAACAATTTTTGAACACTGATTTCTATAAAATTAGAATGCATACTGTTCGGTTGTTTGGGGGGGGTTGCTATATATTTTTTTGGGGGGGAGGTGGGTTGTGGAGCCTGAACTGTGGGCCTGGGCACTGTCCCTCAGCTCTTCAGCTCAAGGCTAGCGCTCTACCACTTCAGCCATAGCACCACTTCTGGCTTTTTCTGCTTATGTTGTGCTGAGGAATCGAACCCAAGGCCTCATGCATGCAAGGCAAGCACTTTACCACTGAGCCACCTTCCCAGCCCTATTTGATTTTTTTTTTGTTTGGTCGTGGGACTTGAACTCTGGGCTTGGGTGCTGTCCTTGTGCTCTTCAGCTCAGGGCGAGCACTCTGCCATTTGAGCCACAGCACCACTTCCAGTTTTTTAGTGATTTATTGGAGAGAAGAGTCTCATGAACTTTCCTGCCTGGGCTAGCTTTGAACTGCAATCTTCAGATCTCAGCCTCCTGAGTAGCTAGGATTACAGGCGTGAGCCACCGGCACCCCGCAATATTTGATATTTTTTATCTTCAGTTTGGTAAAGAAAATAACATATAGTGTTACTAAACTTTACATTTTGTATAATAGAATTATTTTTTAGCATTAGAATGGAATATATGGAAAGTTGAAATGAAAGCATCCATGTTGCTTAATGTTAAAACTATTACTTTGAAACAATCTGTTGCTATTTTTTTTTTTCAAAAACGATGTTCCCAGCCAGGCACCTGTGGCTGTGCACCCAGGCCCTGAGTTCAAGTCCCACGACAACAAAAAATAAAAATAAAATGATGTCCCTGAAATTCCCAGATTGGATTAGGAACAAAAAACTCATTGTTACCCCTAACTATAATAAAAAATTATTCAATTAAGATTCAAGGAATCATGTCTTGTTTTATGGAGTATGGGAGGCTCTTTTCCTTGATTGGAAGTGGAAGAAATTTTTTTCCACTGAGATAGTTTATAAATTATAGTTACCTAAATTTCTCTGTATATACTACAGATTTTGCAGATGTTAGTGTCCTTGAAGAACCACATGAGTTTGTATCATTTCCTTTCACTTAACATACTTCTATGGGTGACACATTTCCTTAGGGGTATGATTATAAATTGTGTGGTTGTTGTTAGCAGTCTTAGCAGTCTTATGTGTTTTCACGTGTTTTTTTCTGTTCCTAATTATGTCTATTTTCACCAAAATTATAATCATTCATCCATAATTTCTTTCTGAACATACATCTTTTAAGAAACCTTTACTTTAGAGCTCTACCTAGAGGCATTCCTCTTTTATTCACCAGATTCTACAGTGCTACATTTTTTTTCAGATTTTCAAATATAAGGGCCTTCATTTTTCTTCCTTTCTTTCTACATTCATTCTTCATTACCACTGCCAAGTTAAATCTCTATCTTTTTATTTGTCTCAACCACCTTTTCTCCATCATTCACTTCCTTTTTTCTGGACTCTCCATCTGAAGAACGGCTCATATATGGCAATAAAAAAGGTACAGACCAGACAGAGTAACATTGTTTTGAAATATGACTTCATAAATTATTCTCATGTCCATATAAGTTAGCATATTTGTTGAACGAAGTTTATGCAGGGTCCTTTTGGGCCTTGTACAAATTTAGTTTTAACTTCTAAGTTAGTATTTTTTAGAAGTGTTTTTAGAAGTCATATTCCAAGATATCTGTCTTTCTGTGCATGGAAATATTTTTCCCTCTTTTCATTCCTCTCGTTTTAAAATTTCATTCTTTTGCTTATTTGTAATGTTTTGTACTTTTCCCTGCATGACTAGGGGTGTTTGATTGTCTGTCTTATTCCCCAAAGTAAATTTATTGTGGACAGTTACTTTTAATATGATGCATGATATGTTTGTAGACTGATTATATATCCTGGTTTGTACAGAGTGTTTATATTCCTGGGAATTTCTTTATTTTAAACCAGTATGATTTACATTGTCATTTGGTTTAACAAATACGTAAATTAAGGATGAAAATATAAATATACCTTGTTACAGCCAGCTTTCCCAACCCCCTACTGCTCACTCTAGGAGTAGCTATTTAAAAATGTCTGTCAATTTTAAAACAAAACGTCTAGATTAATTCAGTAAGAAAATAAGACTTACTTTGTGTCTTTGCACAAGTATTAATAAACTATTTCTTTTTGTTAAATAAACTAGAAGATTGAACTTTGTAAAATCCCCAATGTCTTGAAATTCTAATATTGTTTGATTTTTATCTCTTTAGTAATTCTTTTAGCATCTAAAATATTTATTTAGGGCCATGGTACCCATACAATTTTGGACTTGTAAAATGATGTAGTTTCATTGCTTGTACCTAGTATTACCCTTTATAATACAATAAAAATGATCATAGAGCCTTTTTCTCTAAAATATATCTATTGTTTTCATCCTTGAAATTGGATTTCTTTTTGTTTTCTTAATTTAGTCAGGACCAGTCATCATCTTAGTTTTTAACTATTGTATTTGTAGTCTGCTTGACTTTTAAATGAGATGTTCTAGCTTAGAAAACTTAAGATCGTTCAGACTTCTGTAAGGCTAAGACCCTTTTTTTTTTCGTCTCAACTTCTTTAGCCTTTCCTTAATCTTCTCCTCAGCCTTAGTGCTTCCATATGTGTGTTTTCATTATATTGAAGCACAGCTATAAGGAAGGAACCATACTTTTGGATCCAGAATAATTCTAGCTGCTATATATGAGATAAAAGTACTGAAATTGTTCTTTCTGGAGGCCAAAGGAAGGAAGATTTAATACATGAGCCTTTGTTTTAGCCAAGGATCCAGTTATTTTGGTCTATTCTCCATCAGTGATGGCACAGCTAACCCTTTAGAAATGAAGTAGTGATGATTCTTTAGCCAGTTTTTTCATGGAGTCTTTTTTTTTTTTTTGGGTCCGGTCATGGGGCCTGAACTCTGGATCTGGGCACTGTCCCTCAGCTCTTCAGCTCAAGGCTAGCACTTTACCACTTGAGCCACAGTGCCACTTCTGGCTTTTTTCTTTTTTGCTTATGTGGGCCTCATGCATGCAAGGCAAGCGCTCTACCACTGAACCTTCCCAGCCCTCATGGAGTCTTTCTTACTGCTTATGTCTTACCACCTATATAAAAATTTATGTGTACTTGCATGGTTTTAGAGAACAACTGGTCCATGAGGTTGAGATGTACATGGTTGTTGAGATGCTAGTTTAGTCCTTACTTTGTGATTGAACTGTACAATAGGCCTTTTACACTATTGTTTCCTGATCAACTTACAGCAAAGAAGCTTATACTTTCATAGTATAATGAAATATTTCCAGCTTGCATGTTAAATAGTTAAATAGAAAACTAGTTTTCTCTTTTAGTCTGCATGCTATGGGCTCTCAGGAAACAGATATTATAAGATTGTTACTGGGTTTTTTTGTTGTCTGTTTTGTGAGTTGGGTTCAAGTTTTGTTTTTCCTATTATTCTATAATTGAGGTTTGTTGATTACTTTTCATCTGTATCTGTATCAGACCCTAGCATTTTACTAGTACTGACCTAATCATTGAGTGAAGAAGAAGCTTTTTCGCGTGAGTTCATATAGTCTCCTCCATGTGAGCTGATGACAGAGGACTTGGTATTGGTTTAGGTAAATGTGGAAGAAACTAATGGTATATTCCAAGAGTGAATTCCCTAAACTTGAGCCTCTCTTTCTGTTTATTCCATTGAAAGTAGGTTCAGCTGCAGCCCGGAAAGAAATCATAAGAAACAAAATTCGAGCAATTGGCAAGATGGCAAGAGTCTTCTCTGTTCTCAGGTAAAAAGATAAATAAATAAATGTATTTGTGACTATTTGTTTTTTTTATTGTAAAGATGCTATACAGAGGGTTACAGTTACATGAGTGAGGTAATGAGTACATTTCCTCTTGAACATTGTGACTATTTGTTTTATAAAAATTAGTTCTTTTTGTACTTTATGAGCATTGTCCTGTTTGCTATGCAGAAGCAACAGGTCACATTTTTAAAATAAATTAGTTGTACATTTATATACTAAACAAGGTAATAAAAGTTCCTTTGAACCTAGGGAGTGTTTTTGGTTGTTTTTTGGTTTGTCTATTTGTCATTTTTATTTTTTATTTTTGGGTGCTAGGAATCAAACTTAGGACCTCACATATACTAAGCCACTTTGCAACTGAAACTAAAATGTTTTACTTTTGTGATTATTGTTGCTCTCTTTTGCTATTTCTTGTCCTTTTATGATGAAAGGACTAAAGTTACATCTTGAAAACTAGAACAGGATAAGAAGGAAGTATTACTTACTAGTGTTTGTAATGCGGTTGCTTATCAGTGTAGGATGTGCCTTTTTGCTCGATCCACAAATTGCCTTCCTGAGGTTAATTTAGGAAGACATGTTTACACATGCATATGAATGTCTTTTATTAAAAAATTGTTTACAAACTGATTATAATAAATATTTGAACCTTAAAGCATATGAAATATCATATATTCTGATGCCCATTGATGAGATAAAACTTTTCAAGAAACCTATGTTCCTCAATTGTAATATATACCCTCTATATGAGGTAACAGAATAATGGAAAAAATATATATTGGGATTGAGGATAATATATAATTAACAATAAATGTTGTAAATTAAATGGCCTACATCTGGGTTCTATCCCTTTGAAATTATTTGTTGGAAGTCCTTGATTTTATATATCTATATGTATATATATATATATATATTTTTAGTAGTTCTGGGGAAATGCACCTAGGACCTTATATATATTAAGCAAACACTAAGCTACATCCCCAGACCTTCTGATGTTCATTTTTATCTCTCTACTGCAGGGAGGAGAGTGAAAGTGTGCTGACACTCAAGGGCCTGACTCCCACAGGGATGTTGCCTAGTGGAGTGTTAGCTGGAGGACGGCAGACCCTGCAAAGTGGTAATAATGTTATGCAACTTGCTGTGCCTCAGATGGACTGGGGCACACCTCACTCTTTTGCTAAAAATACACATAATGCATGCAGAGAATTCCTTCTGCTGTTTAGTTCCTGTCTCAGCAGCTGACATAAGCAGGAGGCTTTATGATAGGTAGTATCTGATTAATACCTGACCAGGGTGGAATGCTGATAGAATGGGTAGCCCTTGAGTTAAAAATCATGGTCAGTTCCTCAGCTTTTCCTGAAATGATATGGAAATAACTCATATCATCATATCATAATGTCTGAAATATTTATTTATTCATTTGTCTAATGTATCTTTTTTTCTTTTTAAAGCCCTGAATCAGGGATGTCCCCTTACTAAAATTAGAATGTAACTCCAAGTTTCTTTATTTTTTTAAATTTGTGTAATTGTATTAGACTGATATTTCAGATACTTAATTTTAGAGTTAGCCTGCTTTAGCCCCAGAATTTCACTTAAGATTCACAAAAGATTTTTGCAAGGTTTTGTACCCTGGTAAATGATGCCAAAGTTTGTTTTCTGTGGTGTTTGTCAAATGTTCTATGTATAATTGACTGTCTGTAACATGCTGTTTCCTTCCTCTGCAGATGTAGCTGCTTTCTTAAATCTGTCTGTCTTTCTTTAGGTTAGCTGTATGTCTGTAAATACATGTTTAATTAAATTACTCTATCAGACACTTGTCTGTCTTTTGATGTAGAAGCAGCTTTGTAGCACCTTGTTTTGAGGTTTGCTGCATTTGTTGCTGCACTTTGTGCATTCTGAATATGAATGTAACGTTAGATATTAAGTCATTGTTATAAGGGTTGAATTTAAATCCTGTAAGTTAAAATTCAAAGGGTGTTATTAAGTGTGCCTTTATTTTGCATGAAAATAAAAAGAATTATACATAAAGCATTCCTGTAATCTGGCTCATTGAATGTTTTATAGATTTCAAAAAGCTAACTTTTTGTAATAAATATTTGTGTAAATACTGGCTTAACTTTTTGAAAGCCCATTACAGATAAATAGAAGAAAGTTGTGTGAATGTTGTAGCCTATATACAGTAACTCATAGTCTATATTTCTTCCCTTGTGGGAAAGCAAAAATTGTGATGTGAAAAAGTTAATTAATGCCACTTTTGACAGCCCTCTAAGGGTCATTATTCTGATAAAACAAGCAGCAACAGATCTGTTTTCTTAAGTCCTGATTACAATTTATTTTTGTTATAATTAGAAAATTTTAAATAAAAAATTAATTTAAATATTTGAATAAATTTGAATTACATTGACCTTTCACAGTTGAACTGTTCCCAGTCTTATAATAAATCCTCTTTAATAAAAAGAATTTTCTCCTTAGAAAAGTAATTATTGCCCTTTACATGTTGTATTTTATATGTTACTGTATTGTCTCCTACCACCATTGGCATATCTGAGATAGTCAACTATGTTTTAAAATTATTGATTTGAACTTTCATTCTAAATGAGATGTTTTGTTTGGTTGGTTTTCTTCCTTTTCTTTTTTGCCGTGGTGTTGATAATCAAACCAGTGAGCATTCACAGTGCTACTGTACAACCCTAGCCCCAAGTTTCTTTTTTTCAGTTAAAAAATTTTGCTTTTGATTCTATGCATATCTTGTCTTCTGTTTTTTAATTATAATTAGAAAAATATGCTAAAAAGCATTTCATGAATGTACATTAAAGCAATTAAGAAGATCTTAAATATTCAGTAGAAAACTCACAAAATGTTAGAAAAGGATAATTTTAATAGTTTAAAGAATGTTATACTATTCTGTTTAGAAAAGATAAATAAAACTGAAAGGTATACATAAATAAATATACACTACAGTTATATTGCAACAATCCGTGGATATATTGTTTTACATTGTATCCATTGCCTTTAGATTACAGTTAGCATCTGCTAATTACATGCTTTGTTGACAAATCAGTACTTCTATTTATTCTTAATTCACATGCAGCCTGAAGCTTATTCAACTTGGAAACCACCCTCAACTGCAGGGAAAGTTTGAAAGACAGCAGCTTTGCTGAAGGGACTGTCTATACGCAGCATAGAGTGAGTTAATAGGCGTTGAGTTTAAGGGGTTTAATTTGGGAAACTGGATAGATAGTTCCCAATTCTACTAGTTAGTGTTGGTTCTCTATGGTATGATTTAAGCTTTCAGTTGAAGTTAGCTCCGTAGCATATAATAAGCCCAACCTCATATAGAAGTTGCATCTGTATGATTTTTTTCAAAAAATTGTCCAACATTTTTTAGTTCAATAGATAAATATCCTGATAGTAGTGTGTACAACTGAGAGGCATTGCCAGAAGAAAATGTTTTAATTCTCAGACCTCAATCCTACAATCATTTGGATAACAGTAAAGCTAATTCACCTAATACTTGAGTATTTGTACAAACTTCAACTCTACTGGCATTGTATTTTATGTTCATGTTTTATGTTATTATTTTTCCTAGAATTTTTTCTTTTCTTTCTTTCTTTTTCTTTTTCTTTTCTTTTTTTTTTTTTTTTGCCAGTCCTGGGGCTTGAACTCAGGGCCTGGTTGTCGTTGAGCCTCTTTGTGCTCAAGACTAGCACTCTACAACTTGAGCCACAGTACCACTTCCATCTTTTTTTGAGTAATTTGTTGGAGATAAGAGTCTCATAGACTTTTCTGCCTGGGCTGGCTTCAAACCATGACCTTCAGATCTCAGCCACCTGAATACAATTATAGATGTGAGCTGCCGTGCCTACTATAGGAATTAAGTTTGGTGCTAGCACTATCATACTGCTTTCACCAGGTCTATGTAGAAAATGTTATCATCTGTATTTCAATAATGTCAGATTCCTTTTGATTATTTTCCTGTGTTGTGTTGAGGAACAGAGTTAAAAGGCAGTACTGTATTGAAACTGATGATCAGCCTCAAGTTTCAATACAGTTCTGTCCTTTATAGATGCCCTGTAAGTAAAAGCACATAGAAGAACGTACACTAGTGCCTTTCAGATATAATCTTGCAATTATTAGATCTTTTTCTTTCCAGCCTAATGCTTAAGTTTCAAATGTCCATTTTTCAATTCTAAGTATTCAAGTGTGGCCTAATAGGCAGTTTTGAGTACATCAGTTTGTATTTTGGAAAAGAAAAGATCAGTTAGAGATATCAAGAAATAGCAGAGAATATAATTTTATCTAAAAATACTTCTTCATATATAGTTAAAAGTCAATTGAATGATTTAAAAACTGTTACCATGTTTTATAGCTTGGAAAATAGACCTTTAAACCGTTGATATAATTTGCTTTCTACTTCTCTTAATGAGATGAGGGAGGGTGTGTGTGTTTGTTTTTGTTTTTGCCAGTTCTGGGGCTTGTACTCAGCGTCTGAGCACTGTCCCTGAGCTTCTTTTTTGCTGAAGGCTAGCATTCAACTACTTGAGCCACAGCCCCACTTCTGGCTTTTTTTATTTCTGTAGTACTGAGGAGTCAAACCCAGAGCTTCATGCATGCTAGGCAAGCACTCTACCACTAAGCCATATTCCTAGTTCTCAGATATGTTTTTAATATTAATTTATTACTATATAACAAATTATAGAATGCTTCACATATAGTTACTTTTTAAAATTTTTATTTTATGGAGTACTCTAGAGTTGAACCCAGGGCCTCATGCATGCTAGGCTAGCACTCTATTACTAAGCCACATTCTCAGCCCTCAAATATAGTCACTTCTATAATCACAAACTCTTAAAACATTGTGATAAACATTTTTTTCGTTCCAATTTTTGAATTGTAAAGAAAAATGTTTTGGGGTTGTTTATTTTTGCCAGTCCTGGGGCTTGAACTCGGGGCCTGGGTACTGTCCCTGAGCTTCTTTTGCTCAAGGCTAGCATTCTACCACTTGAGCCACAGCACTATTTCCGGCTTTTTCTTTCTTTCTTCCTTCCTTTCTTTCTTTCTTTCTTCCTTCCTTTCTTTCTTTCTTTCTTTTTTTCAGTCCTGGGGCTTGAACTCAGGGCCTGGGCACTGTCCCTCAGCTCTTCAGCTCAAGGCAAGTGCTCTACCACTTGAGCCACAGTCCCATTTCTGGCTTTTTCTGTGTCTGTGGTACTGAGGAATTGAACCCAGGGTTTCCTACATGCTAGGCAAGCACTCTACCACTGAGCCACCTTCCCAGCCCTATTTCCGGCTTTTTCTGTTTATGTGGTACTGAGGAATAGAACCCAGGACTTCATGCATGCTAGGCAAGCACTCAACCACTAAGCCACACTCTCAGCCCAAGAAAAGTGTTTTGAAGAGTAGGAATTCTAGGACTGATCAAATAGAGATGTTATTCCACTTTTCTATTTGTACAAATTATGAATACTTTCCAGTTGTCCAGTGTCAGTAGTAACATGTATGTTGGGCATATACTATATCTAGTTTATAGTATACTTTAACAGTTAAAGAGGATTAACTCTTCCTTAATTCATCAAATAGAGTACTCATTCTACATTTTTTTTGACTCCTAATTCTCTTCTCTACCTGATTAAGAACACCACTGTTTTCTAATTTGGCCTATATATTAATTCTATAGATTCATTAGTGTCCTTTCAAATTAATAACTGCTTTGGATAAAGTATATCATTTCTAAATCATATTTATTCCTGTAAAGACACTTAAGGAATAATTACTGTAATGGATCTTACTGTAGAAGGATGGAGCATTATTGTTTAAGATATTCTGAGGGTAGTTACTTTGGGCAAGACAATCTTTTGAGGAAATACTGTTCTCTGCAATCTCAGGTCTTGGTCATAAATCTAATAAGCTGTTTTCATAGTTTAAACCCAGAAATGAGCTAAAAAAGAATTTTAATTATAAAATGCATACTAAATATATTGAAGTACTTTAAATGAGCCAAACAAGTGATATCAAGAATGCATTTGTCTTTTTTAATCTGATTTATATGTATATTATAGAATAATAACTATCCCTTAATCTCTGACTGGCAGATGGGTTTGAAAAGATGTTCAGTACCCTTTCTTTCTTACTTAAGAAAACAGACTCCAATTTTGAGACCGATTCAAGTTTATCATAAATTGAACTTAGATTTACTTAAGCTTATAGATATTTAGGTTTTTGAACTCTTACTGTCACAGTACAAGTTGGGCATAGTGAAACATGTCTGTAGTGCCATCTTAGAAACTCTAGGTCCTGAGGTTGGAAGATCTCTTAAGGAATTTTAGACTAGCGTGGAGAACATTGTGAGATCCTATTATTGGAGGATAGGGGGAGGAAGTTTATGTTAGCAGGATGGACCATTTTTGGTTCTCCCCAAAGAACAGATATGTAGAATGCCTATATTTAGACTAATTCACCAAGTTTAGGATCTTTAAATTCTTTTGCAGTCATGCCAGCTTTTGTTGCTTATGTTTTATCTTAAAAATTAGAAATGACAGGAGAACCATAGCTCTTCCCTTCAATTTTTTTATCTTAGGGAACCAACTGATTATGAATATTGTTTCCCTTAGAAATAAAAGATCCTCATTTTCTTTTCTGCTACAATTCTATCATAATTTTAGCCTAGTGAATTTTCCTTTGATTGTAATGGATATGATACAGTATACAATGGAAAATTCTTAACATTATCAAAATACTGAATTTGAAATCACTAATTAAAACTGGAGTACATTTGCCTGGATGCTAAGATATCTGTGTTTACAATAGGTCTCCACGTTCCGTTCTGAGTGATGTCATAGTGCTGTGTGTAAACTGTGCTGTGGTGTTAGGACTTGGGGTATCAGTTGGGATTCTCTAATATGGGTACTATTTGTCTTAAATTGTAAATGATTATGTAGTATGAGATACTATGTTATATTAAGTGATCATTGCCTTTTCTGCTGTACAATATGACCCTTCTCATCTCTCTCATTCATTTTGCATGCCTCTGCTCACTTCTGTACAGCCACAGTTGAGGCTATTGAGGCTGAAAAAGGTATGATCAGAGTCCTTGCACTGGGCAGAGATCTGTGGTATGTGGGTGGGCATCAGAGAATGTCCTGTGGGTGTGTCTTACTCCTAGCTTGTGCAGCTCAAGATGAATCATACTGACTCATCAAGTTTAAGTATCATATACCTCTCTCTTTTTTTTTTAACCACAAGGGTTGATGTCCATAGTTGACTCTTTTTTTTCTCTTTTCCAGTATTATATGCATCCACAATTTAATGTTTCTGATTTCTTTAGAATATAGCATGTTATGCTATGTGATATAGCTTTTAAAGTTTCCTATTTTAGTGGAAATTCCTAAACTACCCTGAAAATAGAGATTTCCCCATATTTTGCATGATTTTATGCTACTCAGATTTTTCCCCTATAAGTAAAATCCCCGCTAGGTAAACAAGTAAGTTTATTTTTACCCCTTTTTTTTTTTTGGTCCGGTTGTGGGGCCTGAACTCTGGGCCTGGGCGCTGTCCCTCAGCTCTTCAGCTCAAGGCTAACACTCTACCACTTGAGCAACAGCGCCACTTCTGGCTTTTTTTCTTTTTGCTTATGTGGTGCTGGGGAATCGAACCCAGGGCCTCAGGCATGCAAGGCAAGTGCTCTACCACTGAGCCACCTTCCCAGCCCATTTTTACCCATTTTAGTAATATACCCATATACTAACAGTGCAAGAACTGTTAATTATATATATATGTAATATATATTTATATATATTACATATATATATATATCTCAGTTTGGGCTATAGTTCTAGGGTAGTATCATGTGTTAGCTTGATAATGCACACTACTTTGTATTTTGCCCTAGCCATTTGATTGGATCATGTGTACAGGCTGAGCCCTGGGGATTACACTTAATTAAGCAACCAGATTAAGGCTAGTAGTATGGAAATCTTTTCATAAACATTTTAATAATGGAGGATACATCATTCCAAATAAAGTGAATGAGAATCCATAACCATAGCTGAATGAAAGATGGTTGCCATTTTTTGTTTGCTTTTGTGCCACTGCTAGGGCTTGACTTCAGGACTTTGAGCTCTTACTTTTTTTCTCTACCACTTGAGCCACACCTCCACTTCTAGCATTTTGCTGGTTAGTTGGAAATAAGTATTTTGGTTTTTTTCTGTCCTGACCGGCTTCAAACTGCAATCCTCAGATCTCAGCCTCCTGAGTCACTAGGATTACAGATTGAGACACCTAGCATGGTTGTCATTTATTTTGATTTTGGGTTCCTGAAGAATTTGTGGTAAATAGCTAGTGAATTATAGACATCTCCTGAAATATAAAACTACATTTTACTCTAAGCCCTACAGGTCTAACTTCTGCAATCATTCTCCACCTCCAAGATAGTCAATGACTTTATCTGCTAAATTTTAACTTAGCTTTACCTCTTTCTTCTCCCAAGCTTTTTGTATGGATTTATATACTGAGGATTAATCTTGTTTAATTTCCTCACCCCTACTCTTGTTGGTACCTTACTGTGGTGGTCACTGTAATCTTAGGATCTGGGGTAGGAAATAATTGGCACACTGATGCCCAGAGACCATTGCCCACAGGTTGATATCGTGGGCTGGGAGGGTTCATTTTTGTGTTTTCTTTTTTTAAAGCTAGGCTAATGCTTGTCATCTATAAAGCAAACATGTTGATATTTAGGTTTAAGCATTTCATATTTAAGTGGGAAGACTGAAATGGGGACAGGATACAGTTAAGTAAGATTTAAGTTCTGTTGCTATATAAAGCTAATTTCTTTCTTCTAAAGAATCATTAGTTATGTTTTTTAAATCTCAGCATTGTTTTATAATTACTGACTTATCAAATTTGCATTTTGTTAAGCAATACGAGGATTCTCTCCACCACATAGAATCTGCAGTTTTGAAGAGGCAAAGGGTTTGGATAGGATCAATGAAAGAATGCCACCTCGGAAAGATGCAGTACAGCAAGATGGTTTCAATTCTCTGAACACCGCACATGCCACTGAGAACCACGGGACTGGCAACCATAGTGCCCAGTGACCAGCAGCTTCCCAGGGACTCTCATATCTCGGGCCCCAAATGGACCGATCACCCGAGGAGCTGGAGGGTTCAGCCAATCTGACTATAACTGTCACAATCCCTCTGAAGAAACCATTGTGCTTTTTAAAACCTTAGCCCCCTTTCTGGATGGAGGCTTGAGGGCCCTGGGACATGTGCTATCTGATAAGATTTGGTCATTGCTGCCTAGGTGGAGAGCAGTGAGCAAGGGGCTTGAGGCAATTTCCAGTGGAGGGTATCTACACCTCCATTTATGCTTGTGGTTCACACATTTAAGTTTACAAATGAGATACCTTTTTTTCCCCTCTCAGTAGAATTAGGTTTGTTTGTTTTTTTTTTCAACCATGACTTCAAATGCAATCCTAAGAATTAATGTGAACTTCCTCCCCCCCCCCATGAAATGTCATTAAAGAATGAATTCGCATGGTCTTAAAATATATTTCTGAGGTTACTAGCTGTATTTTGAATTGTAGGAAAAAATGCTGAGAAACCCAGTTGGCGTTTATACAAAATGCTAACCTCAGGTCTATAGTTCTTAAATGTGGCTAATTCTGTAATACAGTCTTGGTATTTTTCAATTATGAATGCTCAGACTATTTCTAGGAAGACTCTTTTACTTGAACCCAAATCCAAAAACTAGAGTCTTTTTTTGCCCAGATCTTTTGAGATTTATACCCCAGAGATTTAAGAAGAAAACCTCTAAATTTCAAAATTAATGAATTACAGAATTACTCATTTAAGGTACTTTAAAAGAAGTTTGTACATTGTCAAAGTAAATTTTAATTGAAATCATGTCTGTAAAACTTGACGTATTTTGTGTATGCATGTTTTCATTTTGCAAATATTTAATATATAGACCTATGATGTACAGGTACGACATATATAGGTTACCTAGATGTTATGCAAAATTTTAGTTTATCGTGAGTTGCTAAAATAGCCACCAGGGTGATTTGCTGCTGGCTTCCTATCCTTTTTATGTTTTAATGCAGAGGAAATTTTAAAATGTTCTGAAAATGTTTTTGATTAAGCAATGCAGCCTAGAAGCAATGGTTCTGTTCAGTCCTTCAGATGCTAGTGGAAGCATAAGTCAAGACTGCATGTGAAATTTTTCTTCTAATAGTTACAGAACTGCTTGGTTAAACTAAATGGAACCATGTGCTATAATTTTACACAATTATTGACCTGTATTGATTGCCACTGTAGTTTGGTACTCCCCTTTACTTTGGTGGCCTGCTTCCCTCATGCCCTGGAATACAACTCAGAGCTCCAGGCAGCGGAACCATCCGTTGTTTTGTTTGCCAGAAAGTGCACCCTGTATGGTCTCCTGTCTAAGTTGGAAATATTATGCATGTGCAGGACTAATCGAGTATTTTATAACCAGTAGCACACAATAAATTCCATGCATGGGCCGCTGCTCCTATCTCTGTGTTGGGTTTTATTTGGAAGATAGTTTGATTTGAACATTCTATGAAATCAAAAAATTCTGTTAATGGGCTGGGATATCCTCCAGGGAAGATTACAGTTGGTGGTGATTTGATTAAATTCTTATCTTTATAATATTGGGGTTTTTTTTCCCCTTAAACTTTTGTTATACTTGCTTTATCTGAGTAGCTGACACTAGAGGACTTAGGATGCCTACCATAGGCCTCCTTAATCTAATAGTTAATGTCATTATTTTAATTAACTTTAACTGGAAAGAAAATGTATTTGTGGTATTTTTGAGTATTCTAACAGTAAGCAGGAAATATAATTGTCCTACAATCATACTAATTCATTTCCATAATCAAAGTAAGTATAGGACTTTGAAAGTTTTGCTCATGTTAGAATATAACTTTAATTTACTTACATTTTAAGTAATTATACAATAATATACATTATAAAGTTTTAATCTACGTAGTATATATGTTTTTTCTAATTCCAGAAACCAAATTTCTTAAAATGTTGACTTTTGCAACTTTTATGTTCTGTAATATCAATTTGCAAACCTCCATGAATTGCCTCTGATATATACTGTATACCTTAAGGTATATTTCTTTATGTTACTATTTTAAATAGGAACTTAAATAGTATACTGGAGACTAGAACTTCCTTAGTTCTTAGATTCATCACTAGGGCTTTATAGTGTTTGTGGTAATTAGGGGTAAGCATGAAGCAAACTACAGGAATTATAGCTTGATGTTTAAGAAAGATAAGGAAAGTAAAAGAAAGGAACAGCTCAGAAAAAAAAAAGTATATAATCATCATAAGATCTCTTACCCTAACCTTACAGTTTCTAATCTATTGATTAGGATTTTTTTTTACTTGTCTGTCTCGTTCTCTTTTTCCTTCTCCAACCCCTCCCTCCTTCCTTCCTTCCTTTTCCACAGTGCCTCACTATATAGCCCAGAATGGTGTTGAACTTCACAATCTTCCAGCTTCAGCCTCCTAAGTGCTAGTATCACAGGCATGAGCCACCACCATGCCTGGCCTTGTAGCCTATCTTCATCACTTATTTCACAACAAACTTTTGTTAAGTATGTAAGGTTTTTTTTTTGTTGTTGTTGTACTTTGTTTGTTTTTTGGTGGTTGTGGGGCTTGAACTCTGGGCCTGGGTTCTGTCCCTCAGCTCTTCAGCTCAAGTCTAGTGCTCTACCGCTTGAGCCACAGTGCCACTTCCGGCTTTTTCTGCTTATGTAGTGCTGAGGAATTGAACCCAAAGCCTCATGTATGCAAGGCAAGCACTCTACCACTGAGTCTCTTCCCAGCCCAGTGTGAAAGGTATTTTATTGCAATTCATAATGAATGAAAATTGTGAAAACTTCAGATCTTTCTGAATTGTTACTATTTAAATGGTCTATCAATGTGAGTCGCAATACTGGTAAAATGAACACCATTTTTTTCTGTCATTCCCCTTTACATTAAAAAATAACACTTCTTTTTCTTTTTTTATTGTGAATATACTGTACAGAGGGGTTTCAATTACATGGGCAAGATAATGAGTACATTTCTTATCAAGCATTATAGCCTCCTTCTTTGTTCCTTTCTTTCCCTTCCTCCCTCCCTCCCTCTCTTCCTTCCTTCCTTCCTTCCTTTCTTTTTTCTGTCTTTTTCTTTCTTTCTTTCTTTCTCTTTCTTTCTTTCTTTTTCTGTCTTTCTGTCTTTCGTCCTAGGACCTGGCGTGCTGTTCCAGAAATTCTTCTTCTTGATCAAGGCTAGTGCTCTAGCATTTGAGCACCATTTCTGGCATTTTCTGAATAGTTTATTGAAGATGAGTCTTTATTTTTTTTTTTAAGATAAGACTTTTTTTTTGGTCAGTCATGGGGCCTGAACTCGGCCTGGGCGCTGTCCCTCAGCTCTTCAGCTCAAAGCTAGCACTCTACCACTTGAGCCACAGCACTGCTTCCAGCTTTTTCTGCTTATGTGGTGCTGAGGAATTGAACCCAGAGCCTCATGGATGCAAGGCAAGCACTCTACCACTGAGCCACCTTCCCAGCCCTGAGTCTTATGGACTATTGCCCGGGCTGACTTCAAACTTCAATCCTTACATCTCAGTCTCCTGAGTAGCTAGGATTATACATGTGAGACACCAATGCCCAGCAAAATGACAATTCTTTTTTTTTTTTTTTTGCTATTCCTTAGGTTTGAACTCACGGCCTTAGTGCTGTCCCTGAACTTTTTTCGTCCAAGACTAGCCACAGGCACCCAGCTAAAAGTGACACTTTGAATTAGCAAAGTCTTAATCCCATACCTCTTAAACCTTATATGGTTCAGCCATAGTAACAGAGCTTATAACCTCTTTAAGATTCATAGTTTAATTTTGAGGCTAGTTAAGGCTGAAGTTGGCCTGAAATCTTTGTTCAAAAGGTTATATACCAGTGGCTTACACATTTAGGCTTAGACATGAGGATTGCAGATTGAAGCCAGCCTCGGCAGGAGAGTTAGTAAGATACTTATTTCCAATTAAGCCAGAAGTGGAGTTGTGAGTCAAGTGGTAGAGCATTTTTCTTGAGTGAAAAAAAGCTCACAGACCGGACCCAGGCCCTGAATTCAAGCCCCGGGACTGGCCCAACAAAAGAGAATCACCCATATTTAACCAAAGTTGATGCATACCATAACTGATTTTTCTCTGTTCACAGCTTTTTGACATAATTTATATGGTGTTTATAGTGTTTATGTAATTTATGTAATGTTTCAATATTTTCTTTCACCTTCCCTGCTTGTAATTTATTCTTTGTACAATTTGGAGTTCCTTTGAAATCCATTTTCTGTGACAAAACTGGATTTGTTTGATCAGGACCTCATTGCCAGAGATTTTATTTCCTACTTTGATATGATATTCACAGAAGCAGGTAAGTGACAGCTAGGATCCAATATAAACAGAAGTCAAGTCTTTTAGTCATTAATATAGGACCACTGCTCCAACATGTTTTGATACAGCCTACAACTCAAGCTTTAAAGTGTAAAGTAGCTAAGATGAAAGAATGAGATCGTTTTTTTCTATTTTCTGTTCATAGAAACTATTTTTAGTTATTAACTAAAATTATTTTAATTATTTTACTATTCTAGAATTATTTTTTTTTTGTCGGTCGTGGGACTTGAACTCTGGGCCTGGGCGCTGTCCCTCAGCTCTTCAGCTCAAGCCGAGCGCTCTACCACTTGAGCTACAGCGCCACTTCCAGTTTTCTGGTGGTTTATTAGAGATAGGAGTCTCACGATCTTTCCTGCCGGGGCTGGCTTTGAACCTCGATCCTCAGATCTCAGCCTCCTGAGTAGCTAGGATTACAGGCGTGAGCCACCAGCGCCCAGCTATTCTAGAATTATTCTTAAAATAAGGAAGTTGTATGTCGTTGATGACACTCATTTAAGATAATACATTGTTATTTCCTTTTGGAAAAGTTAATTTTACAAACTAATTCTGTGTATTTACCTTTCAGTTAAGTTCTTTCTATACCATCAAATGACCATTTCTCTTCTGCTTTCTTTGGGTAATTTTATTTTTACTTAAGCTTAGATTGGCTGTTATTGACTTGTGTTTCACCAGTGTTTATTATGCTAAAAAAAGGATTTGGGTCTTGAACTCATCCTAGGTCTAGAGGGCATCCAAAAACTCTAGGAGTTTGTACTAATGCTTTCCTTTTCTGATGAAATATTGCCTCTTTAATTAATCCCCAGAGATTTTTGTCCTTTCTGAAGCTGTAAACTGAGAACAGAAATACTCTCTTGAAAGAAGTCCAGGTAGGTGTCATCTTTCCTCAACTTGCCTGGCTTTTGGTGAGTTTGGGAGTGTTGACAGTATCTTGAGCTATCTTGGCAGATAATTAGGATCAGAAGGAGAGTAGTCCTCAGGCAAGGGTCCAGATCCTTACTTGCCTCATTAGAGAGAATTCAGACTTGTCTGTCTGGTTGTTAGGGTATACTTAATCACTGAGACCTAGCATTTCAGCAGTTTGCAGAGAAAATGATATGAAGGAACAGCTGCAAGTAAACCCCAGTCTGGATCTCAGGAGATCAAGCATTCACTTCACTTGGAGGAAAGAGAGAAGGAAGAAAGCCCAGGGCTTAGCAGGGGTAAGTTACTTTTTCATCAACCTGTCTGCTTACTTAGTTTATAATTGAGTAAAGTATTTATCACCCCAGGGAGTGTTAGTCACTGATTAAGTAGCTGAATAGAATCATAATAGCCATGTTCTTTATGTATTGCCCCCTCCTTTTTTTTTTTTTTTTTGGTTGGTCATGGGGCTTGAGCTCTGGGCCTGGGCCCTGTCCCTCAGCTCTTCAGTTCAAGGCTAGTGCTCTACCACTTGAGCCACAGTGCCATTTCTGGCTTTTTCTGCTTTTGTGGTGCTGAGGAATGGAACCCAGGGCCTCAAGCATGCAAGGCAAGCACTCTACCACTGTGCCACCTTCCCAGCCCTATGTATTCCCTTTTTCAATATTTTTCTAGCCCTTTTGAAGATCCCTAGTGAGCAGCTTCATCCCCCCTTCTCTTCACTTCTGAAGGTTTTTTTTGTGTTTGTTGGTAGAGAAATTTAGGTACCTTCTGGTATGAAGATGATGAGAAAATTACTGTGACTTAGGTGAAAAGTCAGGGCTTTTTTGTTGAAGAGGAGAAATATAGGAGAGACTTTTGTCTGGGAATAGGTTAATGCTTCAACTTTTAATTTTGAGATGAAGTGTAGACTTTTTCTAGACATCCAAGTTAGTTTCTCAGCAATTTTTGATGTCATACAAAGACTTGATTTTTTTGTTTTTGATTTTGTTTTTACGTGCTGAGAATAAATTAAATGCCAGTCACAGGATGGCTAGAAAAAGTGATTCTTTTTCTATAAAGTAGGGTAGAGTGAACTCTGACAAAGTTCTTAGTGCTTACTGCAGTTCTTTCTAGATTTACTCTTGGATGTCACCTCTGCTTTATTTCTCTGCTTCTTAAGGGGCTTATAACTCAGAGGAACTAACCAAGGCCTTTTGTGGAAAAGTTAGAACCAAAGATGCTGCACCTAGCCTTGGAGTACACAAAATCAGCCAGGCAGGCAGGCAGAAAAATAGAAAGGAAGGGAGAAGAAAAAGAAAGAAATGAAAACACCTCATTGCTACTTTCTTGTCTTCCTGCCAGAATGCTACCACATTCGTACTGTGGGTCCATCAGTGTGTTCTAGAACTAGAGAAGTCTTATCACATTAGGGGTTTCACTGTGACCACTTCTTTTCCCCAAGCATTATGCTCCCTTTAACTTGTAACCAGTTCAACCAACCTTCCAATTGGTAAGAGTTATTCTTCCGTTATTGGAAGAAGACATCTTTGAAAATGCAGTTGAGGCAGTCCTTTTTTACTTTTGACTGGCTTCCATTGCAACTAAAAGGCTTAGTTATTTACCATTAAGAAAATAGTTACTAGAAATCCTGGGATTTAAGACCCTAAAATTGTTTCAAGTGAAAGATACTTTCTGAAGGTTTCCTTTAACAAAGTTGGTCTAGAAAGATGAAATGTCAGGCCATTTTTATAGCAAAACATGATCCCCAAGGTGAACTTGATAACTTATTCACAGTAAAACCAAACACTGCCACTGTTTTTATCTTGTGTCATTTCCTTGTGTCTGGAGGCAGTTGGTCTGGATATTAATAACTTTTAGCCTCAGTGTCTATAGATACCTTTTTTTCCCCCTCCTTTTCCTTCCTTTCCTACCTCTCTTCCTTAACTGAGGTGAAATTCGTGTAACAAAATTAATATTTTTAAAGTTAGCAATCAGAACATTCACAGTCTTGTGTAAACACCACTCAATGTAGTTTCAAAACATTTTTCTCACTCCCAAAGAAAACCCTGTAATTGTGAAAGTTAATCCCCATGTTCTGTCTCTATCAGTCTGCCTTCTGAACTCTCTGAGTTTTCTTAGTCTTGATATTTTATATAAATGGAATAATGTAACAAGTAATCATTTGGCTGCTTTTTTAAGTTTTGGGGGGTTCATCTACAGTGTGGCGTGTATTGGTATTTATGGCTGTTACTCAGTATTTTCTGTGTGTATCTTCTGTGTGTGTGTCTATAATCTCAATTTGCTTGTCCATTCAACCTTTTGACTACTGTGAATAGTGCTATTATGAACATTCATAGACACACATTTGTTAAAATATTCAGTTTAACTGTTTGAGGTATATACCTATGAATAAAATTGCTGATGATCACATCTTAATTATATATCTAAGTTTTTTAAGAACTACTATTTTTTTTCATAATGCCTGCATTCTCACCACTAGCAGTATATAAAACTTGATTGCTCAATATACTCCATCCTTATCAACATTGACTTTTCTGTGTTTTTAAAAAATAATGGTCGTCCTAGTTAGTGTGAACTGATACCTTATTGTAAATTTTTCTCCTTTGTCAATACAAGAATTTTACCTGAGAATCTCATGATTTTTAGGCAAATATTCTACCACTTTTATGTCTTCCTCAGCCATTTTTTTCTGCATTTTTAGATGAAAGTCTCAAATTTCTGCCCTAACCAGTCTCAGACTGTGACCTTTCAACCTGTGGTATCCTGTGTAGATGTGACCTCAGGGGTAGGCCACCATGCCTGGCTTATTGAGATGAGTTCTGACTAACTTTTTGTCTAGTCTGGCCTCCAGCTCAAATCCTCCTTAATACCTACCTCCCAAGTAGCTGAGATTATAGGAGCATTCATTGTAATTTAATTGGCATTTTCCTAATGACTTATGAACATATTTTCCTCTGTTTATTGGACATTTGTATATATTTGGAAAAAATGTTTATTCAAATACTTAGTTGGATTTTAGTTATATTCTTTTTTGGTGTTGATTTATAGAAGTTCTTTATATAGTCTAGATATTAATTCTCTCAAATGTATTGTTTGTATATTTTTACCATTTTGTGGGTTGTCATTTCATTCTATTAGTAGTGTCTCTGTGTGTGTACACGTGCGTGTGTGTGTGTGTGTGTGTGTGTGTGTGTGTTGTGCGCGCCAGTCCTGGGTGCTATCCCTGAGCTCTTTTGCTCAAGGCTAGTGCTCCACTTTGAGCCACAGCTCCACTTCCAGTTTTTGAGTGCTTAATTTGAGATAGGGACTTTTCTTCCCTGGCTAGCTTTGAACATCAGTCCTCAAGCCTCCTGAATGGATAAGATTACTGGCATGAGTCATCAATGCCTGGCTTGTCCCTGATCTTTTGTGTTCAATGCCAGAGCTCAACTATCTGGGCCACATCCCTACTTCCAGCTTTTTTTTTTTTTTTTTTTTTGTTGGTCGTGGGGCTTGAACTCTGGGCTTGGGCGCTGTCCCTCAGCTCTTCAGCTCTAGGCGAGCGCTCTACCACTTGAGCTACAGGACCACTTCCGGTTTTCTGGTGGTTTATTGGAGATAGGAGTCTCATGGTCTCTCCTGCCCAGGCTGGCTTTGAACCGCGATCCTCAGATCTCAGCCTCCTGAGTAGCTAGGATTACAGGCGTGAGCCACCAGCGCCCGACTTCCAGCTTTTTGATGGCTAAATGGAGAAAAATCTCATGGACTTTCCTGTCTCATCTGGCTTTGATATGTGATCCTCAGATATCAGCCTCCTGAGTAGCAAGGCTTATAGATGTGAACCACCATCACTTGACTGATAATGTCTTTTTATTATTTTTATTTTGGGGAGTGATGGGGATTGAACCCAGTACCGCTGATCCTATACCTCCTGCTTGATAGTGTCCTTTAATGCTTGAAAGTTTTTAACTTTTAGTCTTATTTTTTCATTGTAGTTGCCTGTCCTTTCAGTGTCATATCTAAGAAAGTGTTGGCAAGTCAATGTAATGAAGCTTCCCTCGTAGATTTTCTTCTACTACTTTTATAGTTTTAGTTCTTACTTCTAAGTTTTTAGACTTCATCTTCAAACTCAAGTCAAGTATTTTATTCCCAAATTGTTCTTGTCTTCATTTCTACAGTCATGCTGAATACCTCTCTGTACTCAGAATTCCTTTTTCTCCATTTTGTTCATTCAAAGTATCAAATCCAAGATTAATTCCAACTGCTACCTGCTTCATGAAGTCTTCCAACATACATGACCCTACTAAGCAGAATCTCTCCAAATTTCCCATTATGGCTTTATTTTCACTAGAGGATTTATACAGTACCTTATTGTTTACATATAAACTCACTATTTAGATTAAATATATATTTTTCTTTTTTTCCTTTTTTTTTTGGGGGGGGGGTCCAGTCATGGGGCCTGAACTCTGGGCCTGGGCGCTGTCCCTCAGCTCTTCAGCTCAAGGCTAGCGCTCTACCACTTGAGCCACAGTGCCACTTCCAGCTTTTTTTCTTTTTGCTTATGTGGTGCTGAGGAATCGAACCCAGGGCCTCAAGCATGCAAGGCAAGCTCTCTACCACTGAACCACCTTCCCAGACCTCCTTTTTTTTTCTGAGACAAAGTTTACTATATAATTCAGACTGACCTTGACTTTGTAATTCACCACCCTCAGCCTCCCAAGCATTGTGTTTACAGGCATGTACCCTCACCAGCAAAGATCTCTATATATATTTGTTTCCATTTCACATTTTGCAATGGATTTTATCTGTAAATTAATAAATACATGTGGAATTAATGAATGTTTAAAACTTTTCTGCTGTGGTCTCTTCTGTCTACTCAACCTTTGTGAAAGTTATGGGAGAAGATGAGGCAGGTAAGTTGGGTATCATAGTGTCTCAGCTAGGTAGTAGATGAATATGGCCTTAATTGATTTACTTTTGCTACATAACTCTTAACATTTTATGTTGTTCCTTTGGTTTGCATTTAATTTGCATTTCTTGATTTAATGTTGTTTTTCTTTTCTTTCTTTTTTTATTTTTTTTTGGTCATTCATAGGGCTTGAACTCTGGGCCTGGGTGCTGTCCCTCAGCTCTTCAGCTTAAGGCTAGTGTTCAACCACTTGAACTACCGCACCTCTTCTGGTTTCCTGGTAGTTTTCTTGGAGCCAAGAGTCTCACGGACTTTCTTGCCCAGGTTGGGTTTGAACCATGATTCATAGATCTCAGCCTCCAGAGTAGCTAGGATTACAGGCATGAGCCACCAGCGTGTGGCTGATAAACATTTTATCTCTTCAACCAGATTAGATTAGCTAATTCTTCAGTTGGTGGGAGTTTTGGATAACCAAAACTTTGGTTGCTTCTGTATACTACAAGGCACCTGTGGTTTATGCCTGTAATTCTGGCCACTTAGGAGGCTGAGATCTGAGCATCGAGGTTCAAAGTCAGCCCTTGCAGAAAAATCTGAAAGAGTCCATCTCCAATTAACCAGTGAAGTGTAGGACTAGAGGTATGACTCATGTGGCAGAATACCACCATTTAAGCAAGCAAACTAAGAACTTGAGACACTGAGTTCAAGACTTGGTATCAGCATGTTTGTATACACATACACACATACTATTACTAATATATGCTCCTTATAAAAAATTAAACATAGCTGGACACTGGTAGGTCACACTTGTAATGCTAGCTACTTAGAAGGCTGAGATCTGAGGATCGCAGTTCAAAGCTAGCCAGGGCGGGAAAGTCGGTGAGACTCTTACCTCCAATTAACCACTAGAAAACTGGAACTAGCACTGTGGCCCAAGTGGTAGAGTGCTTGCCTTGAGTTGAATAGCTAAGGGACAGCACCCAGGTCCAGAGTTCAAGTCCCACAATGGACCAAAAGAAAAAAACATTACAGAGAAACTTGAAGTCTTCCTGATCAGTCCAGTTCCCATTGCATTCTTCCCCTATTCAGAGTTAATCACTGTTTAGAGTTCTGCTAGATCTTTCTCTATGCATTTTTAAAATTTAAATTATTATAATAAAAGCGATATTCAGAAGAGTTACATAAGTCAGGTAAAGAGTACATTTCTTTTTGGACGTCATTCCTTCCCCCTCTGTCTCCTAGTTTTTCCCTCTCCATGCATTTAATGTCTATTTATAGAACTTCATCTGTAACATACATGTAAATTATATTCATATATATACAATGCTAATCTTTCTCACACTTGCCTATAGTGATCAATAATACAAAAATCCTAAACTATACTTATCTGTGTCTTAGAAACTGGAATGAGAAGTAAAAAGTCAAGCATCTAAAGTTATCATGTGTCTAGTTTGCCAAATTTCACTGTAGATTTGTTTTGAATATAGTCCCTATGTATTTTTGGACAGGACATGGCTCCACGTTCTCGGAGACGAAGGCACAAGAAGTTTCTGTCAGAGGCTTCTGTGATTGTGAACACACCCACAGTTGTGACTCCTGTAGCAATGACGCTCTCAAAATCTGGTCCTAGCATTGATGCTCTTGGCTTCTTCTCCTTGGACAGTAATGTTCCTGGTCTGTCCCAGCTGATCCTTGAAAAGCTGAACATGAAAAGCTATGATGAATTTAAGTGAGTGACCAACTCTGTGGAAGTGAGACTTACTGTCTTTAGTAGAAGTGACTAGAAAAGGTATATATGGGATATTTCTAATAAGGGATTTTCTCATCTTCACTTTTGACAAATATATTGCCACAGAAGATACAATTTGCTTAAGTAAGAAATGATATGAAATGAAAGAATATGTGAAAATGTATAGGAGACAAGGTGGGATCTGAGAGATTTTAAAGACACTCTTGCTTGCACTACTTTTTTTCTATGTTGTCTCTACAGGTTGGTAGTAGATGGGGGAACCCCTGCCTCAGGCTTTGGATTTCGATGTCCTAAAGAAATGTTCCAAAAGATGGAGGACACGTTCCGATTCTGTGCTTACTGTAGAGCACTGCCTAGTGGCCTTTCAGACTGCAAGGTTCTCCGACACTGTAAGAGGTGATTTGTGGTATGCTAGTAGGGGAGACTTTTAGAAGTAACTCAGAATTTTAAGAATACCTAAAAGATTATTCTTGATTTTATGTAACACAATCTATAGAGAAATTAGAACACAGTTCTAATCCCTCGTAGTTTTGTTGGTGTGGGTGATGAGACGAGACACTTCCCTACTCTCTTCTTGAATCCTCAGTGGTTAAAGCTACAATCTTCTGGAGAAGTTAAAGTTAAACTATGCCTAATAAAAGAGAGTAGCTGCAAATTCTGTTTTATTTTTCCCAAAAAGATGTAAAAATTCAGTTGTTCCTGATGAGTGTGAGGTAACTCTTATATAATAATTGCATCTCAAATCACGTCTGCCTCCTCTGCCAATGCAGTTCCTACAGTTGGTACTTCCTCGGTTGTTCCTTGCTGTACCATCTTTCCCTATTCAGTGTTGTTTCTTTTAGGTGCAAGTATGCCAGAGTATAGGAACATCTGTTTCTGTGGTCAATTCCCTCAGGTGCAGAAATGTCTACTACTGTGGTCCAGAATGCCAAAGATCAGATTGGCCAGAACACAGAAGGGTTTGTCAAGAACTTCGTCTCGTGGCTGTGGATCGTCTCATGGAATGGCTCCTGGTCACAGGTGGAATGCTGGTGTTTGGAACCTTGCCCTAATGGTCATAAATGGTTGTCCCTGGGCTGGGAAGGTGGCTCAGTGGTAGAGCACTTGCCTTTGCATGCTTGAGGCCCTGGGTTCGATTCCTCAGCACCACATA